CAAACCCAATACAATTGTTATATCCAAAGCATGTTCAGGGAGACAATTCAGTTCACCTCATGCAAGAGTTATTTGTGCTTGAAGATATACTAGGGACCATCACAAGGAAAGTAACAAGGTTCATAAATCTCTGTTATGTGTCTGTTTTTTATTTAGTGTCTCTTGGTTGACTCATATCTGTTTACAAATTGTATTTTCAGTTAAGGTGTCTGAAGAGAGATGGAAACAGATGCCAGGTAAGTAGCAGCACTGTAAGTCATTTGTAAGTCAGCACATTGCAGCCACCCCCCTCCCACCCCAATTAAGAAGTAATGCTTTAACCTGTACCTTGCAGCTGATGATAAGCTAAAAGATACCTTAAAAATTGTGTACCTTTTCATTTAGATTTCAGGACTATACCTTTCTTGAGATCAGCTAGCCCAAGTTTTATAATACTTTTTGTTCTGTGCATAAGATTCTTGTAAAACTGGAATATGAACTATTTGTGTAAATTGTGTGTTTGAAGCTAGCATCTTAATTGATTAACATTTTATAACATCTTAATTTTAAGGGTACTTAACTGACATGCAAGCTGATTTAGTAGAACGTTACCTTGTTAAATCTTTTTATTCATTTAAATATTTACTTTCAGTGTTTATTATCTGCCTGAAACCATGAATTCAAAGATATATTTTATGCATGCCAGTTTGCTCTTATATACTGAATATTTTTTTTAACGTGTACCTCAGTAGACCTTTGAAATGTCTTCAGATTGTAATGAAGTTTTTCAAGATAAAAGTAAGGGGGAGTGGGGAGGAAACCCCACCAGAATTCTGTTTCCATTTGCTACAGTAATTAACTTGTCCAAGACAAATGGATGATAGAAATTATGTATGCAAGTTATATGTGCAATGACGAATCTGTTCTGAATTAGTTATAGAAAATTTGTAAGAACAGTAAATCCTTTTGTAAAGTTTCATCACTAAAGTCAGTGAGAAATGTAACAAACTCGTAAGGAAAGTTTTATTACTTCTTTCTCTGTGTTCTGTTCTTCCCCTTTTTTTCCTCTATTTGTTGGTCCTGCAGATTCCAGTAATATCATCAGGGCGGATCATACTAATGTTTTTTTGAAACAAAAAGTTTGGCAATGTTGAAACTTGTATTCCAGGTGATACACTGGAACTGCTCTTGATCACAATGTTTGAGCAATTATTATGAGTATTGCTTAAATTCTTTATTTATTTTCATAGTATTCTGTGGCCAAGGCTTCCATGTTTTAAATATGTGTTGCTCTGACACACATCTGGCTGTGGTTTTGGGAGGACTACACACTTGGTTATTATCATAGTTTTCTTTGACACTAAAAACATCTCAAATTAGCATAGCTGGTGTCAGTCTATAAGTTAGATGAAGCTTCGACAAGCACAAGAAAGTGGATGCAGCATTGGCAGGGATTGTTTTAATACTTAAATTAGCATGTGATGTAGTAGAATAAAAATATTGACCAAATTTGTTGTAGTAAAATGACATCAGATCAACACAAATGAAAAAAAGGGTTATGCCATTCCCATAATTGATTTTTTCAATAGTTTGCTTTATCCATGCAATATTTTAAAACCTCACTATCATTTTAATTCTGCCTTTGCTGCATAAACTATGATCATGAATTGTTTAAAACATCACATGTATATTTAAATTAACAAGTCATCTGAGATTCACATAAAACAAAGATGCATGTATGCAAGAGTTATGTTTTCATTTTCCACTTGTATGTTAAGAGTAACAAAGGCTATGTGTTATTTCCAGGTCTGAGACTGAACAAAGGTACCTCTACATCCCGACCTCCTACTCCTGCCAACTTACATTTACCAGACATGATCCAGCTGAAAGATATTGTTTGCTATTTATCACTGCTAGAAAGAGGAAGACCTGAAGACAAGCTAGAGTGTATGTTCTTTTTTTAAAGTTAATTTTACATACTTATTTCAATAAGTCATCAAAAATTTTTTTTCTAAATTTTCTGAGTTTAAGACTCAGTTTTGGGTAGCTGCATTATAAGAATATGGTTCTAGGTGACCATTATTGCAGAAATGATCTTTTATTTCTCACTAATAGTATTAATTTGAGATTTTAACAAAATTCTTTCTGTCTAGTATGTGCTAAGATGTGGAGTAAGGATTATACGTTCTGCAGTTAAAATAATCCTTTCTATACTTCTGTCTCTTGATCAGTGTCAGATCTGAGAAAAACAAATGAAATATACTGAGGATGCTTAGCGATATATAGAAGTGGTGAATAATCTGTAGAAAACAAACTAATTCAAGCAAATGATAGTTCTTAATATAGGCTGTGGGCTCTATAATATTAGTGAATGCAGAAAAGCGAAGAATGATCCCAGTCTGCACCACTGTTGGGAATGAGTGACACTGAAAGTTAAAAATAACTTGATTTCTTTTAATTAGGGGCCTGATTCATTAAAGCCCAACACTTCTACCTGTTCAAAAAAGTAACTGAGAGTTTGATCTGCAAATCAGAGAAAAAAAGAAAGAAACCATGTTTCCCCATTACGGAATTTTAGAAGGCAGTTTTCCAGATATATAAACAGTGAATTCAATTGTATAGTCCTTACTGAGACCAAATATACTTTGATATAAGCTGATCTGTCTATAAAAGAACTGTGGAATCAGGCTCTAGCACTGTATTGAAAGTAAATACTCACTATGATGGGAAATGCAGTAGGCTGCTTCTGCCAGAATGAGAAATTCATTACAAGGTTACATGACAACAACATGTGTTGTTGAAGTATCTTGGTGTTTCATTACCTGTACTTAGTTTACAATGACAACTTTGTACTGTAAGATCACCGATACCTTTGCCTCAGCAAAGATTATAAGGAGTCATCTCCAGATTTGGTAATACCAGTTTGGTATGATTAGAATATGAGGATGAATGCATGAATGTGCATTCAGAACACAAGCACAGGAGGGCTAAGATACTAAGATTTAATGCAAGTTACAATATAACAACTGCTTCATAGTAGCGAGTTGCAAGCCGTATCAGAGCTCTGAAGAGCTCTGTGTGCAAGCTGAGCGTGAAATGGAGATCAGTTGCCTCCCCTGGTGTCAGGAATTGGTACAATGAAATGGGGAAGAGACAGAGGAGCAGGTGATGATTTTAGTGTAGGGGATGTTCTGTGAACTTCCTGCAACAGGAACTGCATATTCAAAAGACTATGAATGCTCTGTATGATTTAGGAGCAAGAGAGCCTGGTCTAATAAATGTACGGTACTTACATGTTTTGTATATTCAAGATAATTTGCATTTATTACATATAATTAAGTACATGGTTACTGTATAGGTTTATTTTCTACTTTGTCATACAGAGCTGAAATATACCATGTATTGTCACTTTTTAGTGTCTAAATTTTTGGCTAATATTGTACCATTAGTATGCAGAATTCCCCGATGATTTTAGTTAACTTGTCCGTATAAATTAATGGAATAATTTAACGCTTTGTCTGAAATTATTTTATAGTGGTAGGTCCTGTGGCTGTAAGGTAAATTACAGATTAGTAGCAGTGGAGTAAAAAGAAAGAAAGGATGGCTTACTCCGGAGTTGCCAATATTAATACTAATCTCAAATAATGATTTTTTTTCTGTTGAGAAAAAATGGAAACACTCTGAATTATAGCTGAGAGTTTATAAACTTGATTCATGACAAGTAGAACATGGAAGTGGTGCTTTCAAATAAAATCTGATATCAACTGGAGGATTTTTTAAGATAAAATACACTTACAGGATAATAGTGTTTATGTTGTGGATCTATGGTTTGTCATAGATTTATAAATATTCCAGCAGATAAATGGATCTCTAACCTATTAACAGTGTATTTCTGGATGTCTTAAGTGCTGCGAAACTCACCTGTTTGACATGCTCAGCATATCTATTATTCATGGCCTGAAGATAAAGAATATTCCAAACTTTCCTAGCAGAGAAACATTGACGAATTTAAGTTCTCTTTTTAAGGTCATATTGCAAATAGTTCAAGGTGTATCTATATTGTTAAGTACCTTCATGCTCTGTGGTTCAACCTGTAGACTTGATCCATAGAAACCATTTTCTGCTCTCCATGTTGTTTTCACATGTACTAAGCTTTGCTTGCTGGTGTCCACACTATAATTCTTGAACATGTAAGAAAGACCCCTTGTAAATATGCAGCATACTTCCTAAGAACTGAACAGTGGTGTTTCATAGCTCAACTTTTCTTCCTTCAATGACCCCAACAGCAGAAGTTATTTTAGCTCACAGTGAGGCTTTATCAACACAACCTGTTCCTCAATTTGTATGTGTTTTTTGTCAGTATAACCACGGATACCAGGCATTTATCTCTTGTGAAACTGTTTAGAGAAATGCCAAGAGGCAGTGTGAAGGGCATTAGACATTAGGTATGGAGGAAGCATGCGATCTCCACAGGTACTGTAGCTTTACAACCATAATATGCTTACAAGTGCTCAAACCTCTCTCCACTATTATGAAGAGAAACTCAAGAAATATGAGCTGTGGGGATTTTTTTGCCAGTTTCTCTTATCAGGACTCTCTCCAGGTTATTCTGTTGCTGTTCTTTCAATACCAACAGAAGCTTCAAGAATGCCACACTATTCTTTTGTATTTTTGCAGGATTATGATTAGTTATAGTCTGTCTTCTTGCTATGCTATGCACTTCTTGGACACTCAGACTGCTGTGGAGAGCGACAAGCCTTATTCAAAGTACATGTGCTGGTGAAAATAGCAAGTGCATTCAGCACTTGTTTATGCATGTATTTTTGAGAATGCATTCCCCAATTTCTTCTCAAAAGCAAATAATGTTGAACTTTTGGAAATTATGGGATACCACTTTTTGTCATATGCCAGATTAGAAGTGTAGAGGTTGCAGGTGAAAAGTACACCGATTCAGTGATTCATCCCTATGGAAACTGTGAATGCTTAATGGTACCTTTGCCAGATAACATGAGCTGTCGTGCTCCAGGCAGCTTTGGTAGAAGGTGTACTAGCAGGGACAGTACCAATCTCTGGTGGCTTTTAACATTAACTGTTGTTCTGCAATGAAACATTTCTACTGGGTAATTCACAGGCAAAGAAAGATATTTTTATAGGTTTTCTTAGCCTATAACTAATGAATAAACCTTTGTAGCTTGAAACAATGTACTATAGTAAACATCCTCACTCTTATATTGCAGCTTATAAGAGCAGTGTGATGTAGTGGCTAAAATTGCTGAAGTGGTAGAGAGGTATAGTACTTACCTTTTCCCCCCCCACAGTTAGGTGAACAACTTGAGAATGAGATGGGGGATATAAGGGAAGCAAACCAATCCATGTATCAGTTAAATATGTTTTGCTGTAAGTCAAAAATAGTCAAATTGTTCATGAACTTTACTTTCTAATTGCTAAGAATTTTCTCTCACTTCTCATTATATTGTTTCCTGAAAACTGTGTTAAACTTTGCTCGCAGAATTTATTGGACTGTAACAGCATTTGCTGTGGATCCAACGTGGGGGGATTGTTCACTGTTGAATAGGTCATATGTTATGTTTCTGAAGACATCTGATAAGACAGTTTGTAAGCAGATTGCTTGATTTTTGCTGTCAGTCAAGGCATTACGGTGTCCTGGAACCACCTGTACATAGGCTCTCTTCTTATTCCTCAGAAAATAGCTCTAGGGGGAAAAAAAGAGCACTTTCAAAGGGGATGGTGTTTATATTTCAAAGCTCTGACAAACTATACCAGAAAGTAGGGACAAAGAGTGAGATATTCATAGGCTTCTGGTTTTCATCTTTAGCCTTTTAACAGTATTCCTACCAAAGCCTCACATTTCTTTCTGCTCTGCAATGTCATGCAGTGTATGATCGGCTGAGTAAGCTGCTTTGAAATACCTTGGTAATCGTGGACATACCTGCTCTTGTGGCTGGAATCAAGTACTGATACAAACTGGAAAGAATATATTCTTTCTGGATATTGTCAAAATGCAGCTATTCTTATCTGAGTAGCTCCCCAAAATGTTGGGAATACATTTTCACATTGATGAAGCAAGGCTGGTCCTGGGAAGAGTCATGCTGGCAGTCTGTGAGGAATGTTTATTGTTGGATTTGGCTGATTACATACTTCAAATAATAATCCTCTGTTACATTTAGTTGGTCTGAAAGCATTTCTAAAGCACTATCACTATCAACATTGAATATTCATAGCTGCAACCAAGGGAGTAGGATAGCATTATAGCTTAAGCAGACTTACCAACATTTGCCTGACCAATTGTGTGTTATACTATGGTGAGATGACAGAGAAAGGACTTCTGGTGATACTCACCATGAATACAGATCATCTGTAGGAGGAGCCAGAATTAAGTTCACAGACCAAATTAGCTGTTGGAGTGACAACAGGAAAAGGTTGCAATTGCACCGTCCTGCTAATATGTCTCGTTGGAGGCACTGTGGCAGGGTAGTCGCTGAGGGAACCTTTGAAATAATACAAAGTGTTCAGTGGGTCTACAGTTAGTGTGATCATTAACGGAAAGGGATAATGTTGGTCCTTTCTTTGAAACTCAGGTTTGGTTGATTTAGGTTTGGGGGTTTTTTATGAAATAGTGTTGTCACTATGTTTTCTAACTGAATTCCCTTCTTTTTTTGTTTCCTTTTTAGTTATGTTTCGCTTATATGATACAGATGGGAATGGATACCTGGATAGTTCGGTAATGTTATTTATGTATTTTAATGCATTGTAAGAGTGTGTCATAATGGCATACCTATACAAAACTACATTAATCCAAATGAAGTTTATGTTTATCCTGAATTAATAGAAGCAGTATAAACTATTATTGATAAAAAGTCACCCATTTTGAAAGTAACTCTTGAGTTTTCCATTAAACTGCTGATTCTACAACTGTGTAAGTTTTCAAATGCTGACACTGTTATTGTGGAGTCCTATTCTGATTAAAAATCAGATTACTGTAGGGGACACGTTCATATGATTCCTAAAATTCTAGTATGCTGCTGGGAGATGTGCATGAAAGCACCATTTGTAAAGATTTCATTAAAAGGGGAAAGTGTGAGAGTCACAGTGGATATATGTGGAAAGATGTCAGAACTTTCATGTTGTTATTAAGAATGGAGGAACAATATTAAAGACAAAGTTTTGAGGAGCAGCCCAACCAAATACTTGAAGGAAAATCAGAGATATAGCAATCTAGGCTGCATCAAAAGCAGCGTGACCAGCAGGTTGAGGGAAGTGATTCTCCCCCTCTACTCTGCTCCGATGAGACCTGGAGTACTGTGTCCAGCTCTGGGGTCCCCAGAGGACAAGAGCTGTTGGAGCAAGTCCAGAGGAGGGCCATGAAGATGATCAGAGGGCTGGAGCACCTGTGAAGACAGGCTGACAGAGTTGGGGTTGTTCAGCCTGGAGAGAAGAAGGCTCCAGGGAGACCTTAAAGCAGCCTCCCAGTACCTAAAGGGGGCCTGCAAGAAAGCTGCAGAGGGACTTTTTAGAAGGGGGTGTAGTGACAGGACAAGGGGTAATGACCTTAAGATGAAGCAGGGTAGGTTTGGATATAAAGAAGAAGGTTGAATGGGGCTTTGGGCAACCTGGTCTAGTGGAGGGGGTTGGAACTAGATGATCTTTAAGGTCCCTTCCAACTCAAACCATTCTATGATTCTGTGATTTAAAAAATGTAACTTTTTTTCCTATTAGCTAACAGAAAGAAGTACTTTATTGGCAGTTTTCTTTTTTTCTTCTTTTTTCCCCTTCTTTTTTTGTATCTCCCTGAAGTAGGACAGCATATAATGGGTTGGTAAAGAACAGGAGGTGATTCCCATAAGTGACAGGGGAATAGGGAAGCTGAGTTACATAGAGGTATAAAGTAAATACTGTATCATAATTTTAGGCAATAAAAAATATTAATTAGATAACTAGCACTTAATAAATACACATGGGAATTCAGAATGGTTGTAGATAAGTATGAGCATGTTTACAAAACAAGTTGTATTTATGGATATGGAAAAACACTAGTGATATGTGATCACTAGTGCTAAAAGGAAATTACAACACTGTAATGGTAAGAAAATATCTCTGTCTTAGTTTATATCCTCCACTTTATGCCTTATTTCCATTAGAAAGTTGTGAATTATACAATTCTTTCCAAAAAACAGTTTGTTATAGTGCTGGAATTTGAAGGACCTTACATCATTATATCACAGGGTAGACTTCAGATCATGAAACAAATGCTCGAATGATCAACTAGGAAGGAATCTATTACTAATTTCAACCCAGAGGCTGTCCGCTGGTTGTGGGGCTGTGTTTCACCTCCTTGCATGCTTGATGTTTTGCTAGTGAAGCATATTCACCTAAGAGTGGACAGCTTCCAGTATAAAGGACATTTCATTAGGAACATTGAAGAAACAGTGTCACTGAACACAGTATGTTTGAATTGTAAGTTTCTTGCAGTAGAATTTGTCTTTATGATATTGCATTAAATATTACAATTCTTTTTCTTTCTTCTGTAGGAGCTGGAAAATATCATTGCTCAAATGATGCATGTTGCAGAATACCTTGAATGGGATGTTACTGAACTGAGTCCAGTAAGCTCCATTTTATCCCAAGTTTTTAATGTTGCTAGAGATGGCATTTGTGATACTTCATGTCAGCATTTGATTCTCTGTATTAAAAAGATAAGAATAATAATAGTCTGTGCTCTACTATGACACTGTCAGTTAGCACTTACAAGTCTTTTTCTGATTAAATCTGATCTGTGAAACATTCTCGCTGCAGTTTAAGGCTTTTCTTCATTGCATGTAGTAATTAACATTTATAACACAAACGATTTGTCTCTGAAAATTTCTTAAAAGTAACTACCTCTTATTTATATTGTACATAGCAACTACACAAGGGGCCACAACTTGGTTTGGGAACTTTAGGTGTAATGTAAATGTAAATAGAAATAAGATACTTCATTTTCTGAACTGTCAGTACTCATTTTACTACAGGTGCCATGCTAATAATATTTTCCTTACTTTTTGCATGTGGATGAGGGAATTGGAGATCTGCACATGTTCTAACAAGAAGTTGCTATATTAGCATATGGAATTTATGAGATTTTTCATTAAATTGTGTAGATTCTTCATGAAATGATGGAAGAAATTGACTACGATCATGATGGCACTGTTTCTCTAGAAGAGTGGATCCAAGGAGGAATGACAACAATCCCGCTCTTGGTCCTCCTTGGGTTAGAGAACGTAAGTATTAATATAAGAGTGTCAAGTTTCTGCTTGCATGTCAGCTGTGACCCTCAGGTTAGTTTCTCTGTGGCCTGTATAAAAAATGGCTTTTCTTTTCTTTACTATGGCCGAATCGCATGCAAAGAACAGAAGTGTGTCTTCAAAGTCAGAGGTACATAAGCATGTTTGAAGTAACATCAAATGAGCCTGCTCTGGAGATGAAAATTGTAAAAAGCTGATTAATTTGTTCTGTTAATAGCATCTTGTTAATTCCTAGCTGCAGTAGTATCTGTCAAGAATGTTTTACTGCCCATGTGTATGTTATAGCTGGCTTGGAACAGTGTCTAGGCTTCTCAGCATGGTGCTGTGTTGTGAGGCCTAACCCTATTGAGTTACAGAACAGTCTAGGTTGGAAGGAACTTATGGAGATCATCTGGTCCAGCCTCGTATTAAAGGCAGGGCCACAGATTGAGTTATCCAGGGCCCTGTGAATCCCAGCCCTGAATAATTCCAGTGAGATGGATTCCACCAGTTCTGCAGGCAACCTCTCCCAGTGTTAATTGTTTTCAAGGGAAAGATCTTTTTTTCTGACGCGCAGATGGAATTTCTTCTGCAGCAATTATTGCCCGTTGGCTCTTGTCCTGTCATGATACATCCCTGTGAAGATAGTTCTTCCTTATCTGTAACTACCTTAATAAACTACACTAAGTAGCAATATCAAAGAGAACATTTACACCAAAGGATAGTTACGAAAGAAGAGCTTACGTTCTGTACATTTACAACTTCACATTAAAGATAAGACAGATGTAATATGATCAATTTTATACCAGTTCAACACAGCTGTTTTAACACTGGCATGTTGCCAGTGCCACCTGCTGTCCTGTTTTTGAGCTAATTTTGAGCACATGTATCTTAGCATATGTTTCAAATGCTTTTCTGTTATTTGAGAGAAAACATTTTTATATAATTTTTTTCTGAAGTCTTTTTTAGATATTGGGCTGAAATTATATTTACTTTCCACATATACTGCTACAGCCTGAACTAAACCTAGAGTGCTGTAATTGCTCTGTGGAATTTTATTTGCACAAAGAATTGTCAGATTGAGAGTAAAAAAAAAAATACGCAACAAAACAATGTGTTTAACAGAAGATCTAAAATTCTTCCAAAATCTTATTAATCAAATTACCAGCTAAATATCTGAATTGGGGATAACTTTCAGTAGGTTTGGATCACTGTAAGTACTAATTCCCTAATTCTGTACATGTGACTGAGTAACAAAAATGTAAAATTATTTCCCTGTCGTCAAACAACAAATCTTTGTCAGGCCGAATGTCATTATTTCCACAGAATTACTCTGAAGAAAGGGCAGCAAATGCTCTCAAGCAATCAGTATAGGAGATAACTGGTAGTAATTTTCAGTACAGACTTTTCTTTTGTGACAGGTAGCATAGATGTTCTGGGAGTATTTTTCAGTGTCTACACTTCATTCTTTCTAAATTTAAAACTCCTTAAATTCCGTGATAAATTAATGCAGATAAATAAACCTTCTTTAGAGGTTTATTTTGATATTAAAACAAAAGCTATCAGACAGAAACTATGTAAATATACGTTATCAGACATTTTATCCTTTTGAGTATTTTTACTAGTTATTAGATAATTTATCTTGCTGTGTGTAGCTTTGTGACGGAAATAATAAAAATACCTGAACAGTGATCAAAATTCTGTAGCCTGCTATCAGCATGGGTCAGTGTTTCTGTCAACAGGAGTATTCCCAGTACGTTATGTGTTGAAGAGACATAAAGGTACAGTTGTGAAAAAATATTATAATGGTATGCAAATTATCTTTTTGATCAATAAGCACAGTTTTATTAATTGAAAGTTGGACTAAAATAGATGGGGTGACTTTTAATGCTTTTTTAATATTTTACTTTAGTGTGAATTAAGTCCATTACCTACAGAACCCTACAAGCTGAACTGCTAGTCATTTGTTAGTGTTTTACTAGGAAATGATACCAGCCTCTAAAGGGCTCCCATTTTTCTTTTCATGTTTAAAAGTGCTCTTGATTTCTTGAACTATTTGCATAATATGTAGAGAAAAGCCAGGTTTTTAAATTTTCCATCAAGCCAGCAAAACGTTACTGCTTCTGTTTGTGTACAGTTCTAAATGATCAAATCTAAGTGTATTTTAGGGCATTGAAAAGTTCAATCAAGAAAGTTAAAACTCTAATACCTGTCCATCATTTTTTTTTTTGTAAACTGATAGCATGATTTTCATGGTTTTACAGCATCTAGTGTATTACTCGAGCTCTTCATTCCAGTGCTTCATTCCCATTAGTGGAATACTGTTATTTCTTTTTATATGCTGTTGTTAGATTTTACAAACCTAGCTTCCCAGGACTGCTTTTTTTGGCTGTCTTTCTCTCTCCTTTTAGTTATCATAATGAAAAGTAAAATGAGAGGTTTTTAGACTCAGTAATCAGATAATAAAGTTCTGATACCTGTTTTCCACAGGCTGATTAGATAGCCTACTGGCTTATGCTGCTTAGACAAGTCCAGGTAGTCTTAACATGTTGAAAATAAGCAAAAAAACCAAAAAAAACCCAAACCAACCAACCAATTCTCTTACCTTCTTTTCACTTTAGCCAACTATGGTTTGGCTCTATGCTGAACTCAGACAATGATGAAATTTTCAATTCAGGAGATCGATTTCAAAGCTTGTCCAGTATGATACTGACGAAGAATTGTCACTGTAGTTTATTTAACTAAAAAATAATTAATTAAAAAAAAAAAGATACCAGTGAAATCTTTAATTTGTTTTGTGTTGGGGGTCCATTAGCTTACTGTAATACACTTAACTTTTGTATAGAGCTTGTACAAACAATACAAGATTCTCAGCTGATTTAATTTGCTATGCTAATATCAGTGAAGCTATAATTGTTTCAGCTGAAGATTTGTCATAGTACCTTCAGAATTCAGCTACATTGTTTGCACTTAATCTTTGGTTTCCTTTAAGAGCTATACAAAAAAGTCAGATATCATGTAAAAGATATATTTAAAGCCTTTCAATCAGTTTTTATTACATAATGTATTAGATGCTTTAGTTACAATGATTGAAAATATCAAAGAAGCATTTAAGTGAAATGTGGAACTATATCATACAAAAATAAAAGAATAAACAAGTTAGTGTTTATAAATAATGGAGTTGAGATAGATAGCCTAATCTCTCACAGATTTGTGGTCTTTGCCCTCTGACTTCATCAGTTTTCTGAAAGGGACAGCAGTATTAGATTGTTGTTACAAATATTAGCCAGCCAGCGGTTGCCAGGTTAAAAGAAGTAACAAGAAAACCTGCCTGAGTTTCCTTCTGATCTCTCTCTCTGCCCTCTCCCCCTCTGCCCTTGTTCTAGACTTTCGTGAAAGTTCTAGTGCCCTCTCAAATTTAGTTGAGATTACTAGATTAATTTAAACATTGCTGGAGCTGTTTAGAGTCATGGAGGTAAAGGGACAAAGAGGATAAATAAGTTTATTTTCTTTAGGATATCAATCTAAATATCCAGTTTATTTTATTTTACTGGTTTTTATGCTTTCTATTTCCTCCTAAAACTAGAGTTTAGAATTTCTGTGAAGAACAGTTTTATCTCTGGGAATGTGCCAGGATAGAAACAATGTATTCTTATTTTGATGCTTTTCAAGGCAATTGGTGTGCTAAACAAACAATTTCAGTACAAGATAAGGAATTTAAAATATAATCCATTTGTACTTGAATGACTACGCTTTTTTCACTTAGAAGTGGCTTAATGTGTTCTGTATTGCACCTACTGAAGCCTTTGTCTTTAAGACCCATAGTTCTTACTCTGAGGTTTAGTTGTGCCAGTTTCGTGGAAGTCGTTCCAAGAAATTCTCTCATGAAAAAAGTGAGAATTTCATGAAGGGAAAAAAAAGTAATTAGGTTACTATAGAGGAAATATTGTTATTTATGTGGTGCAATTTTTAAAAATATATGTATAAGGTAGAGTTTTTTGCTGAGTGTCACACTTCAGTTTGCAATTTTCACAGTCCTCATCAACTTTCCAAATTTATATTTGCTTCTTAAGGCAATTGGTTTTTTTGTCTCCCATCCAAACACAGATTGGACAGAGATGTCCCTGCATTATTCATTCTGCTTGATAATTACACTTTGGGAAATGGCCTATTGCATACTAGTGACCATCAGGCTATTTATTCTACTCTTCCACAGTAGAAACCTTTAAAGTTTCTGACTTTTTTCTTTCATTATGCAATTCTTCATAATTTAAGTAGATCAGCATTGTCAGTGAAGGTTGAGATTTACCCCATTGACTCTCCCAGCATTGCTTGAAATGTCCTTTGTAATCTGGGCACAAAAAGCCACTTAGTGATGGTTTGCTTTTAAGGGTTTTTGTCAGCCATGAAGCTTGTACTCTGCTCTTTGCTAGGAGTTCCTCACTTGTACAATTCTCTTCTAAAGTAATTCCACGCCAGATACTTTGATCTCACTTCTCTTGTAACGGATCATTGCTACCACTTCTGTCAGTGATTGTACAAAAAGTAGGTATAAACTGCTAGTTCACAAGTGCTAGTGTTTAAAAAAAAATCTTGTGTTTTAGGAGTGGAAATTATTTTATTCCCTCTTCATTGGCCACTAGATGTCACAGTTGCACTGTATCTGGTACTGCACAGTTGCTGAAAAGCCGCTCAAAGGTGAGAGAAATTGAACAGTAGATGCTTCATAAAGTCATCAATAATCTGAAGCTAGGCCACTATGCCTTTCTTTTAAAGCACCAACTGTAATTTTCAACCCATTTCAACTTTTAAATCAAGGTAAATCTCAATAAGACAAACACATTTGTGTTGAAGAGTGACTATGCTTCAATTAAATCAGAAGGGAACGTTTTTACAATTTTATTTTGGATCCTCAAGCAGCAAATATTATGCTATTATACTCAAAAGAATTTAAAAGTTAACTATTTTTTAACCTTTTTGATTAAATGTGGGATGGAATACTTGAGTATGAATCCACACTTGGGAAATGCTGCTTTTTATATTGTATGTTACATTATTGTTGGCTTACATTTTGAGCTCGGACTATGTGAAAGTGGAACCAAACTGGGGACTTGCAAACATTTGCAAGTCTGGTGTGGGATTTGTTGAACCATGAGGAGTCCCTGTCTGGCTGAAGTCTGGAATGACTGTTTAATACCTAGGTAGTTTGATAGAGTTGTATTTCTTTTATTCAGTGAGGAATGAGGGCGACCTGGCCTTTTATTTTCCCCAGTGATTTTTGTAAGTCTTGTCTAAAGTGTGGCAGGTGAGTTTTCTAAAAGGCTGAAGTGCTGATGAGACGTATGTGACTTCCATATGTACAGAGGGCAACACCAAGCCCTTTCTAGAAGAAGCTGTAGCTTACCCTCTCTTTGTCAGAGAGCAGAATCACCCTAAGTGATAACAGGCGCTGTTTTACCCCTATCATTTCACGGCATTGCCAGCAGAGGGGGGAATGTTAATGCTTTGTGAGACTTCGTAGCAGGAGCTGCTGAAAAAAGTGCACATCTCTTTACTCAACAGTGCTGTCTACTTTTATGCTGTGCTAGCTCCCACTTCTTTGCAGAAAGTTTGCAAATGCCTTTCCTTAGTATGGTCCTGCTTTTTGCTTTTGCCTATAGGCTGGTAAAAGCCCAGGAGAAGTCAGGAGTAACTCTAACCTATTCTGTGTATAAGGTGTAAAATAAATGGTATTTCATGCAGGTGTACAAATTTACCATTAGTTAAAATGTAATTTCTGCAGCATTTCAGTCTCTGCAGATGACAGGTGACTACCAATTTAGGGACAGGGAAACTTTGTAGCGTGGCTAATTATGAAGCTTCTTTAAATAAAATTAATTTCCCCTCCTGTGCTCCCTTTTCTATGCTGTCGTTTTCTCATGTGCGTATTAAAGCTTAAGCATTTCTGGGTGACCAGGATAATACACTAGTGAGTGAGTGGATGATGGCTGGAGAAGTGATTTTTTTTACTTCTTTTTTTTTTTTTTCTTTTCCCTTTGTCCAGCACACTCACAGAGATACACACAAAATGTCTTGGACATTAGAAGTGAGGAGCCCTCCCAAGTTGCATGTCTCTTGAATGAGATTACTCCCTCTCCAGTTGAACCAGAACAAGCTTAGGACCCCTTGTCCCCGAACCAAATTGAACAAAACGAAACTTGACATGAATTCTTTGCTGAGAGCCACCAAAGGAATATAGAACTCAACTGTGTTTGTATTAAGAGGAGGTGCTACATGGTTTGACGACACTCTTCTCACCTTCCCACTGGCTGAAAAATATCCAGTCATGAAGATATCTTCAAGTCATGTAAATATTTTTAAAATAAATGAAAACAAAATAACAGCAGGCAGTCAAAGGATAACTTAGCAGACTTGCTAACATCCTTCTCCCTTGGCTGCTTGTTACTGACTCTTCTCATAGGAAAGGCTGAGCGTGCTGGTATTTCAGACACTCTGCAGTTATTGTAAGAGGGGATAGTTGCTAGGATGAAAATTTGTCAGTGATTTCGTTACTTTTTTGAAGTCTCAGAATCTGGAGTTTTGTGCTTGAAAGCTTAAGATATATTTGGCTACCTTTATTTACGAATATCTAAAAAGCTGACATAAGTTAATATTAAACCAGATTGGGGATGTGTAGCTAAATTCTGTGACTGCATACATTTTTCCACTAATTCTAAGGCTAGCATTTTCATGGTTGACTTTTTAAGGTCAGGTCTTTTGGCAATCAAATCCATGGTAGAACGGTCAGGACCATAAGTTAAGAGAACCGTTGTTAACAAAATAAATGTTACTATTGTCATTATGTGCTAAAGTCTACGTATGGCATATGGAGGCTTCATTTTCAGTGATGTATAATGAAGTGAGGAAGAGATTTTTACTGTACCTGCCCTGCTTTGAGATCTTCTTAATGACTATTTGTTTTTAAACTCTTTCTCAGGATATGGAAGCAAAATGAGTGAATGTCAGTAAATGCACTGATGTGTCAGAATTGTGGATTTTATTCATACTTAAAGACTTACATTGAGGGGGCTTTGTTTCACATTATGTCTTTTTTTTTTCTTGGCAATGTTTTAAAAAGTTATGTGCATGCATAATCATATGCAGCACTTTATTGCTTATTTTTGGCAGTGCACAAGAGCAAAAATTTAATTTGCTATTTACCAAAAGTGCATTGTGTTTATGTAATGGATTTGCATCAGTTGCAGCCTGTAACACAGTTAAGTGTTTTAATTGGCAGAACACCCACATCAAGACTTGTTTGTTTTTCTGATAAGGAAAATGCCAGCTAAGTTAGTCCATATGTTCTGTTCAAATAAGAAGCGACATATTCACATGTAATGGCCATTCTTTAAAAATAAAATTAAAATGAAAAAGTAACACAAAACTAATGTGGAAGAGGGGCAAGTTTATGCATAATTATGAATTTTTATTACTTTTCAGAAATAGCAAATATTTTGCTAATGAAAGCTGGTCAGCTTGCATTTTAAGTGCTTGTGGTTTATGACTGTATCTGTTGATGACCTGAGTAATGTGAAAATGACAGTGTACATGGTTTACTGTTTTTTGTCAGAAGGATTTACATGGTCTTTATTGTCTAGTGAATAATTGTCTACTTTCAGAAGACTTGAAACTCTTATACATTATTGTACTTTTAACAATGCCTTAAAAATCTGTGGAATGTGGTATTAAGAAGGAAAGAAAAATAGAAGTTACAGAGCTCCATTTAATGAAATACATCCTCTTCAGCTGCCAGTCATGAAGGAGCTTGACAGGCTTCTAGTGCTCCATAGCTGCAGAATCTATTTCTGCTTCTTCAGGGGAAATTGGAAAACTTCCACACCCTTTGCCAGCCTGAGAATCCCGTGTTAGGCATCTGCTCTGCTGTTTCTGTAGAAAGGGGACCCTGACATTGCACAGCTGTTAGAGATGGCATTTGAACTCCTGTTGGTAATACTGGGGGAACTCCACTTAGGCTCTGATCCTGATATCTCAATAGAGAAAAAACATTCCAGCTGATTTCAGTTCCTTTTGCTTCTAGATAATTTGTTGGAATTATTCAAAGTTGTGTTCTGGCTAGGACCTGGCTTTGAACCAAACATTCTTAATTTCTTGCAATCCTAATTTTCCTTCAGGATTTTTTTTTTTCCCCCTACAAGGAGGAAGAAGTCTTCATCATCTTTGACTTGTCGTTAACGGATAACTCTTGGAATAGAGCAATACTGATTTTTAAGGACCTAACTCATGCAGTATATGCTAATACAGGACAAAACGATTTTTATTAAAATTTATATCCCTGACTTAAATTGACTGTCCTTATTAGTGAAACTCATCATATTACTGGAGATCTAGTCAGGAATATTGTATATACCTAATGACAAATATTTTTATAGTTTGATGTGAGAAGTCAGAAACTGAATGAGAACCAGCTGTTGATGTGGCTTTCTTTAGCTATGTGACAATTTCTTTTTGGTAATGAAATGACCAAGATGAAATGACCAAGATGTTTCAGTAATATGCACTGAAGATTCAAACTACTGTAGCCCATTTCCAGCTGATAGATATTAACTGTCATTGTTTCATTGGATGTTATATCTATTTAAAAAAAATAAAAATCAAGTGATATTACATCAGGTTAATCTCATTTTTTACAGTCAAAACCTCTGATGATTGCAAAAAGGAAAAAGTCTGATGGCCACACTTGCCAAGGAACCTGGAATTTACAGAATTAATTTAACATCTGTACCAAGTGCATATCATTTTAAAAAGCTTCTAGTAACAGTGAGATCTCAGAATGATTCCATTAAGAAGGAAGAGGAGAATCACTCCAGTGAAAGCTTACTTCCATAAATGTAAATGATTTGATAATATTTTAGCTGTACACATGAGTTACAGTGGGCCCCTGAGCTGTAAGTGCCAATCAGTTGATCAGTCAATTCATGCAAGATTTGAATATAGTGCTACAGCTAATGGATAAATGTGGGAATGTAAGGAATTCTGTTTTTAGAGATGTCCCTAATTCTAAGGGTCAGAAAGAATATCTCTGTAGTTTTTTTAAAAACACTTTCTATTGTTCATTTTGGAGAGTTTTACCTTCTAACCTGCAGCACCTTTCTTTTTATAATTAGTCTAGAACAAATTTTAGTTATAGTACTAGTTGTAATTTAATATCAGCCTAGATTTATGGCTAACATTGTGTTGCAGTGGTGACAGCAGACTGGTGTTTTTTCTGAGTCATTTTTGAAACACATGGACGTCCATGAGCTTCTGAAGAATATTTTATTATATCATTGCCTGTGCATTTAGAATGATTATACTATGATCTGGTGCAGAGTATTAAACCAAGTAACAGCTTGTCTTTTACGTTCTTGAGTCAATCTCCAATTTTTATTGGCACTTATATATTTCATTGTTTATTTTATTAAGTGAAATCTGTTTCTTTTATGTTCTGTGCAGAATGTGAAAGATGATGGGCAGCATGTATGGAGACTGAAACACTTTAACAAGCCTGCCTACTGTAATCTTTGCTTGAACATGCTAATCGGAGTAGGCAAGCAAGGTCTCTGCTGTTCTTGTGAGTATAAGCATTTCAAGTGTCCATTTGCATACATGTCTATTCCTAGAAATGTTGCGATTGCTGCATAACAAGGAATGAGTAGCTTCCCAGTACAAAACCATTACTAGCACAATAGTGTCTCCCCCTTTGCCTTCTATGCTTGAGTGCTCAAGGTTCCATTTTTAATTTTTCAGGATATTGGGCTTTCACGGCTGTTGTTTGAGGGAGTTTTCTTTGTTATAATAGCTCTCAGTTCACTTCGGAGTCTGTCTCTTTTTCATTATCATTATCATTATTCCTTTTCTCTTAGCAAGTAACATGCTTAAGTTTCAACCTTATATTATTGTTATTCCTCTTCTGTATTTATTAATAATTATTCATATTCTTTAACAGGTATGAACTTGACTAGCATCTAAGTCCCATATATATTTATTCAAATTTTGCGCAGAATTCTTTTTTTGTTAATTGTAAAGGTCAAAATCCCAGTTTCCCAGAAATCGAGTTTCTGTAACACTTCTAAAGCTTTGTATGTTTACTTGGTGTGTAATCATGAATCTAAGTCTTGCCTTCCTTCCACATATTAACTGGTTATAGATTTTAAGGTAAAGGAACACAGAAAAACTACTGCACCTATTTTGACCTTCATTAGACTATTAGATGCAGTTACTACAGTTCAATTCCTTTAGTTATATCTATGTATCTCCTAATAATCTGTGTTTGACCAGCTCATAACCTGTATCTTGAGTAACCAAATCTTGCCGAAAGATACCTAGTCTCTGTTTGAATGTTTCAAGAGATGGATGATCCATATCTGTCTTTTGTGGTGTGTTCCAATGATTAATCATCTTTTTTTAACAAAGACCTATTTTCTGATTTGAATATGTCTGGGGAGACGGTGCCAATGATTGGTTCATGTTATGCCCTGCTCCATTAGATTAATGAGATATTTAGTACCCGCTGTATTCTTCTCATGATGGTATCAAGGAACCTTTCATTGTTCTTTGTGATAAATTAATCAGTTTCTTAGTGTAACTTACTTTCTCCATTTTTGGTATGAAAGATAGCCCATCACAGCTGATCAAGACCTTTCTTTCTGCCGGTACATTTCTATTGATTTAATTTGAGATTAGTCTGAATGAATGAGGATTTCAGAGTCCGCCATTTGTCTCTCCTCTGTGGGCAGAGAATCTCTTCAAAACATAATTCAGATGTAAATCCTCCACATATGGGTTTTCACATCATATAAATTCATTCACAATACTATGGAATGAGAGAGATACATTTATTAAAATCCAAACAAATAGAAATTGCATAACTTCAGATTAATAAATGCTGATGACAGTAACTGGAATATATAGAGAGAATGCTGAATTGACTATTAGATCTTGAAATGTTACATCTTTTAATATTATTTTATGTCAGAGTGATATAAACTTAATCCTTGTGAGGAAATGTAAAACACATATATGTTTCAAAGAGAAAATTCTATTGAGAGAATAACGTAGATCATCTTCTTATCAGAAATGTGTAGATGAGTTATATAATGTAAATTGCCCCAAAAAGACTAACCTTACAAGAGCTGTGATTTCCTCTGCTGCAGTGTACCTCTTTAAAATTTATTCATTGTTGTGCTTGGTGTTTATTGGGTGAGAACAGTGGTCCCAGAGTATCTGAAGAACATCCTTTCAGTTACTTCATGCATCAAGGGGCATAAGTCTACTTACAAAACTATTACACAATTTCCTTATCTCACTGAGCTTCTTCTCCAATATATTTTCAAAGCATTGCTATAGATTTCATTATTTGCATTTTAGATTGTGTGGGAGGAAAAAAAAAAAAAGGAAACTGCAGGGGGCCTCACCATCCCTCCATGGTCCAATCAACAATGTTACTCCCTGCAGTTTGTCTGATTAATGGCTGCGCCTCCCACTGGGTTTGTGTAATAGGTGCAAGCAAGGTGTTTAGAAGTACTTTGTGCTTAATTGCTCTCGAGGTCAAAAGCGTGAGACATATACCATGCAGGGAGAAATTCATTCTCCGTTTTTAATAGTTGACAGTATTGAATACAGGTATAAGCTGTAGCCTTATTTCCTCATCTGGGCACAGTTGTATGTTTGAGTCAGGAGAGCTTTGCATTGTACCCTGACATTTGTATATTTTCCAAATGCAGCTAGTGTGATCTTTACAGACCTAGTCAACAATAGGAGTTTCCTAAAACTGATGTGGAGGGGTTAGGAAAAAAAAAAAGCTTCTCAGGAAGTGGTATTTGGGAAAGTAAGAGTTAAAGTTGGGGTGATTACATGGAATGCATGAAAACAATTGCTATCTGAAAATGGACTAATCAGCCATTAAAGATTTATAAATCAATAGAAGGAATAATATAAACTCATTGGCTTTTATTTTTGTGCTTGCCAGCTGCTCTTATGCCTATAGTTTGTAAAATATAGATTTCTTTCTACTAGCAAATGACACCAAACCATTTGGCAGTCGTCAATTTGTCTTTAATATTTTTGTCATTTGGGAATTACTATGAAAAAAAACTTAGTGAGCTCTGATTTAATTAAGCATTTCCTGTTATGCAATGATAGTGCATTCTTGGATTTCTCACTTGCATAATATTTCCTGTTCTAATTGGCCTTTTGTATTCCATGGAAAAAACAGTCTAGTTTGAGTTTTCATTGACTGATTGGATTGATGATATAGAGATGGCATGCTGGTAACGTTATTTGTATCATAAAAATGTAGTCAGAAACACCATTGCCTCAACGTCTATTAATGTATTTCTTTTTTTCAGTTTGCAAGTATACAGTCCATGAACGCTGTGTCTCAAGAGCTCCCGCATCTTGCATCAAAACATATGTGAAGTCCAAAAAGAATACTGATGTAAGTTCGGGGTAGCATAAACTTTGCCACGTACCTGTTAATTTAGTAACCCTATGTATATCCCCACTTTTCTTTTGCAGGTAATGCACCATTTCTGGGTAGAAGGAAATTGCCCAACAAAATGTGATAAGTGTCACAAAACTATAAAATGTTACCAAGGCTTGACTGGACTTCACTGTGTTTGGTGTCAGATCACAGTGAGTATACTTACAGTAAAACCTTTAGCACAGGTTAGAGAGACAAAAATCTGCGTATCTTTTATAGCCTCATAATTCAAATGGTCTCATTCAGTTTTGTCATCAGGAATGGATAGCGTGCGTTTAAGAAACGGTATATGATATTCATAGGAGTCCTTAACTGTTGCAACCAAATACACTGTGCTTCAAGACAATATAAAAATGGAAATAATATATGTCATTCTAACGAGCAGAATTCCCACTATACATTATAGAAAGATTATAAAAGTGTGTTCAGTACCGGGAAAAGTCAAGGTCACTGTGACGCTAGGGCAAAATCATTTGTGGTGTACTGACAGGCAAATGAAATTGAGGACATCTGGTAGGATACAGTGATTTCAAGTGTTTGGGAATAATAGCAGAGACATCTTGATAATATACTAATCTGTGCACCAAGTCTAGTATATACAACTTTTGTACGCTCCTTATTCAGACCCATAGCTGGAACTAATGACATTCAAGGAACACTGCCCTTATAAGTGAGATCTTCATGCTAGAGGAAGCAATGCCAGTATTTCTGTTCCTAGCCAGGGCAGGATTTAAATCTAAATGGGGAGGGATTCAGCCTTCTTCTAGGGTTTTTGCTTTTTTGCTGATAGCATTATTATTATTGTTATTGTTGTGGAACAGCAGTTGTTTGTTCAGTGTTTTAAATAATAATATGAGATGAGGCATTAGTGAATGTTTGTTTTCAGCATACAAGTTTGGATGTTTTATGACATATTTTCTTAACACAAGAATGCAAAATATGAAACATCATCAAAGAAAATAGATCCAGGATACTTTCAGTGATAAGCTGTTATGATTACTTAAAAACTGATATTTTAGAAGAAAGCAAATATGTACTCCAGATTGCTGTCAAAATTTGGATAAATTATGTGGAGAATAAAACACCCAATCCAAATTTTTTGCATCCAGATAATTAAATTTAGGCAATGGTTATCTGTGTTTAGGTAGATTTCAAAGAAGAGTGTTCTGCTCTCTATATAGATGTTTTTATATTTGTATAATATGCATATGTCATTCAAGAAATACGTATTATGTAAGGCTCCTTCTTGAAGTTGAAGTTGCAAATTCTGTAGCTCCTCAGAAAAAAATATTTTCCCATTTTTTCATGTGAATTTGGTCCAGATTTGTAAAGGCTTTTTACTTTGTGAAGATACACATCAAGATTTAGAGGACTTCCATAACAAGTGAGATTCACTGAGGAAATATTAAGAAATGATTTACCATTGAAATCACTGTGAAGGAAGAGGCTAAATTCTTTTGAAAATATCTTAGGTGCTTGTGTGCACATTTAAAGGTTTAAATATCTATCGACATCCCAGTTAAAAATGGGCCTATGTTCTTTTGAAAATGATGGCGCTGAGGTTTACAATTTTGCAATTGTATTTCCGTGAGTAATTTCAAGATTTTTATTTTCTGTAAAAGTAATGTTGCATTTTCCTAATAACTTTATTAATCCTTTTATTAATTTTTTATGGTTCGGGTATAAATTAGACACATAAGTGAAAAAAAGAGTATTTTAAAAGTTTTAAAAATACTGCAAATTATTTGGTTTTCAGTCTCCTATTCACTTTTCTTGCAATTCTATGTATTCCTTACATTCTATTGAAATAACTTTCTTTGCTAATAGTAATAACTTTATTACTGAAAAAAAACTTAAATTTCTAACAGATGCTTCATTTTTGAATGGATATTCTGAAGTTATATAATTATCATCACATCCTTCATACATTTTTCATCTCCTTGTACAACGCCACATTTAGGGCTCGTTGCTGACATTTTTGTAATGTAAGAGGATGCTAGTTATTACACAACTAATTCTGAGCCTCTTTCGTGCATTTTAAATATCTCTTCTTCTTAGAACTTAATATGGTCACTTCTAATGTCAAATCACTGAATCAAATCCCCCAAATTAGAGATGTTTCTCACTAAGGAGGCTTGTTATACTGAGTTCTCAGCCAGGCCCATGATTCTTGCTTCCATATACTCTGTAGCTTTCTACCATGTCTTACAAATGGTTTTTTCCTCATTTTCTCTCCAGCAAATATTATTTTTCCTGCTTTGCAGGCATCTGGTTGTGAGGGAGGTAATATTCTAAAGGAGCTAGGTTTGGGGTAAGGGAATTTTGGGGAAATGTATTTTAAATCTGCTAAAACATTTTTTTTGAGAAGAGATGCATATTATTTCATTGTGTCAAAAAAGTGGGTTTTTTTCATTAAAGCTACGTATCTTCTACCATTTCTGTTGTCTGCTGTGCACCAATTCTGTTGTCAAAGATCAGCAGAGACTAATAAGAAGATTAAGCTATTTTTTTCATAGATAAGTTTGCATGCCACTGAGTAGCAAAGCTGCTAATTAGCACTGAATGTGTGAAGATACTTTTATTTGATGTAACATGGCCTGGTGTGCATTAATTATGGTACAAGTAGCCTTACCACTGAGGCAGAGAATTAGCATGACAAATGATTTAGATTACAGGGCTACCAAAATACCCTCACAATAAGGCTTTAATACTCAGACTAAATCGAAACTCGTTAGACTTTTATTTTCTGTTGCTAAGTAACTGCCTGAAAAGGTAACTTTGCAGTATAAATGAATATGGACAAGGCTAATATTAGGTGCCATTCAGTTCAAAATTCAGAAATGTTATGTCAACATTAACTGTACCACATAACTTTATGAAGACCATATTACTGGTAAATATGTCATCATTATGTACATCAGCAACTGGTACAATTTTATGGTAATTTTTATAGTTCATACTGACATAGTTAAATCTTCTAAGGGAAGATGAATCAGCCTTTCAAAAAATGTGATTTACAGATGCAGACATTGAACTACAGATTTTCTAACAGCTATTGAACCTGTGGATCTAATGCTGTATGCTACCTATTAAACTAGTTAAATCACTTGTTAAAAAAACATTATTTCAAAATTTGTGGTATATAATATCCTGATTATTTTCCTTTAATTCAAATACACATATCTTCTCAAAAAATAAAATATTCATCTCTATGGGAAATGCATGTGTTACCTGAAGAACTTAACACACAGTTTATTGAATCAATGCAGAAATAATAACCTTTCACCAAATTTCACAATATATGTTATATTTTATTTTGTCTATCTCCAATATTTTATATTGTAGTATACAAAATAAATGTGCATGCTTTGCATGTTCCAGGCACACACAACTATGCCTTTGTACTGTGTGCCTGGATATATATGTTGAAATATTCTATTTAGAGACATTTGAATTGAGATAAATCCTAAAATATCAACAAGAACTCTTGATTGCTAATGCAAAATATTTCAATAAATACATCATTATTGTTGGCATTTTATATTGATGTTATATACACATTTTTCCCTTCCACCTTTTTAACAATATGGAAGTAAGCCTATGCTCTTTCAGTCAGCAGACCTGAGGATATTCTTTCCATGTTTTCAGAGTAGAAGTCTTCTCATTGCTTTCAGGAAAATTGGATGAATGCTAAGAATAAAGTAGAAAAAGGAGAGTAATTCAGGTTCCTCAGCAGTCAACGGAAGCCTGAACATTGCTTCTATCAAGACCAAAATTTCCCCAATGTGGCTTAAAGCTTTTAGATATTCCTGCGTTATTCTCTTATATTTCATATATATTTTCATAGATATTGCAGCATCGCAATTGAATTGGTAGTGACTTATTCAGCTTTAGGTAGGAAGCAGATTTACACCAATAATGCCAAAGGCTGCCCTGAATTACAGTAGATTGCTCACTAGTAGTAGAACAGAAGTTCCTGGCTCAGTGTGAGAAGCTGTCTTCTGAAATGAAGGTTTTGATCACCAGTAACACTCTGCTGATGTTCTCATTTTGTGTGTTGGACCACATGTGTAATTTCCAAACTGGAAAATATTTTGATCCACTATTCTTTGCTTCAATATAAATTCATTGGTTTTGTCAATCCTAAGAGGCTTTCCACTGCAGTGTATTTTATTTTCCGTGTTGTACTCCAGTAATAATTAGATTAATTTAGCATATCTAAACTCACCCCACTGTAGGATGCCCTTTTTCTTAGACTGTAGTAGTAAAATGTCTTAAGTTGAATCTTCATTTTCTGTCTTCTCGTAGTTGCATAACAAATGTGCTTCACATCTAAAACCTGAATGTGACTGTGGACCTTTGAAGGACCATATTTTACCACCCACGTCAATCTGCCCAGTAGTATTGGTGAGTTGTCCGTATGTTTATTTCAGATGTAATCCTCTGTCATAGGTGATGGCTAAAATTATGCTGGTACTGACTGCCAGAGTATTTTTTAAATTCACCAAACTGTGTGAACCTTAAACACAATGGGTAATCCTGGCTGATGAGTTTTTAGGTATGAGCATGCTTTATCCCCTGCATATTGCATTTTCCTTCATGATGAGAATGAACTTTCTGTAGGGCATATTATAACTGAAGCTGACTCAGGTTTTATCACTTACTCAGGCTGTACTTACCAGAAACCGTATAGGCAGAACACTTCTACATTTTACATCTTTTATAGATCCAGCTTCCCAGAATAATGAAGTTACTCTTATGGACAGTTTTTGCTTGGGATGCATATTGTATATCTGCAATGCTGAGGTCTCTGATCTAAGCCGGAGGTTACCTAGAATGATGACACTGGTCTTGCAGTAAGCTATGCATCAACATTATGGTATATTTTATTCTGCAGTCATGCACAGTAAATTTCTCTGTCCACAAAAACAATAACTCAATTCAATGAAAATAAAAATGCATGCTATGTGTAGGTTGTATAGAAAAGAGCTGACCAGTTTATCATTGAAAAAAGAGCTTCGGAATTAACTTATGTGTTCATGTATTAAATTGGATGTTTTATGCTGATTAAAGTCATAGCATCATCATATTCATAACAGAACAGACATGTGGTCCTCTTACTTTAAATATATTTCATAATAAGAGTAAGAAATGCTTGAACTTAAGAAAGAATGATTTATTGCAAGGAAGAAAAACAAGAAAATATACCTTTTAATCTTAAACCTGTTTCTGATCATTAAGAATAATATTCATGCCTATTGTAAATTACTTCTGTTTAATCCTTTTGGCTGTGTGTTTATAAATCTGCTAAGGGATGGATGCTAGACTTTGGTCCTCTACTTGAGTAAACTGGGACTATTCCATTGCTGTCAATGAAGGTAAAGCAATGGAAAGCTGGCTTTAATATTTATGAAGTATTTTTTTAATATTTTTGAAAAGTTGTCGGAGTCATTTTGTAGTTTGTCTGTAGTAGTATTTTGATATTACCTGGACAAGTTCTGAATAATAATTGTAAAATATTATTTTAAGTTTGTTGGATGACTACATTCTGCATTATGTTATTTAACTTTAAGGATTTTAGGTCATACTTTAAAAGTTAACATGTAGAAATTATGATTTTGTTATTGGACTGGTTTTGTTTTATTGTTATTTATTGTTTGCCATTCTTATAAACTGAATAAAGCCTTAGCATGAAATTTCATCTTCAATTATATTTGCGTAACTCCATTTTCTTTTCAGGAGAGGAAGAGGGATAGAGGAATTAAGATTTTCATTCCACAATTGGAGTTTAGTTAAGTTGTTTAGAGGATATATAAAACCACTCTAGAGTCAAATCACCCTTGAATAGGTTTGTTTTATCTGCAAATTTTGAAGGCTTAAGCAGAAGAAAATATCTTTTCCTGTATCCGAATCATGTTTCAGTATTACATACTAATAATGTAACATAAAACATGTATTGCAACACAATATATATTGTTAGGGATGTAAAATATATTTTACTGTGATTTAATGGGAACTTTATAATTTTGTAGTATATTTGTTCATCTAGTAGTTTCTTCCAAAAATGCATTAAAATCCTGGGTATACTTACATTACAAATAATACAAATTACAAATCGCTAATAGGAATTCCTCCTAGAAATGATTGATTACAGTGTACTTATTATTTATCTTAGTAGTTTTTTAATTAATTTCTCCCATTTCCTGTTACGGGGATTCCTTTTGAGAAACATAATAGTTCAGCGTATGTGAAACCAGCACTTTCAATAATGACAGCAAAAAACAGTGAATATATCCATGTCAAAATTGGCCAAAGATACAACAGTAAATGTGTCTGTTAATAGAAATGATGTGTTCAGACATGTCAAATCTGATATACCTGACAGTGGAACATCCTTCATCTAGGACACATAATTAGCTCCAAGGATCAGCTGAGTAATAATATTCTTGCGATGCTACATATATGTGGAAGGTAAAGAAAAGCAGATAACCACAATGCTTTCTGTACCAGGTTTATCCTTGAGTATTTTGAGGTATCAGAGAAGAATGTATCTCCTCCAGTAGAATAAGTTATAGGAGTTGTGGGAGGATAGCATGTTGAAAAATCTTGTATCTTTGATTTCCCAAAAGTTTTGGTGCTCCCTTCAATCTGTAACTTAAGAAGTCCAGACTTCTTCCAAAAAACTGTCAGAGTTCATCTCAGACCAAGATGCCTTCTCATAAGTTTTCTTTCAAGAGTACAGACTAAATCCCTTGTCATCTTTTCTCTTTTGTGGGACATTCGTATTTTTACTTTTCTCATCCAGCATGTTTCATTTCTTCGGTTCTTGTGAAGTCCAGCCTTGACTCTTTCTGCAGAGATAAAGATAATTTTTTCATAAATTGCATTTCACAGCACCATGTACTATATCAGAGCTACCAAAGTGGTCTCTCAGCTGCAATTTGTTGTTCAGGTCCATATCCTCTCAGTTTTACCATTTCCTAGGTATCTATTGACATCCAAAATCACTGCTGCAACTGTGAAAAATAAACAAAACCCCTTACCTTTCCTGATTGTAATATCACAAAGTGTGACCTTTTTCTTCCCCCTAAATATAGCCACGTCAGTTCAGGTGACTGTTCTAAATTACTCATTTAGGGTCTCTTTAGACACAAGAGAGATTCTGCTAAAGTATAGTGACTGGCATGATCCT